CGCATTTTGCTGTCTGAGGGATTTCCGAGAGGGCAGCAAGGGCGTGCTCCCAGCTCAGCAAATTGCCTTTGGTGCACTTTGCCAAGGGATGTTAGGACTTTAACTTTTTGCGAACTAGTGGGTTTTCCATTAAACCACTAGAAACTAAAAACTTTTAGCAGGGGAGCAGAAAGCAACCGAGCATATGTGTTTGGCTGGGTTCAGCTTTGAGTGGTGCCATGCAGGCTATGATGACGCCAGCGTGGCAGCTGCCTTGCAGAAAGGGAATCAGTTCTTTCAGCAGAAGGACTTTAGCCTCATTCTCAGAAAGAGAGGGGGGAAGGGAGAGAGAGAGAGAGGTAGAGAGGAAGACAGAAAGCCAGACAGACAGACAGACAGACAGAAAGAAAGAAAGAAGGAAAGACAGAAAATAGAGAGAGAGAGAGAGGCGGAGAGAGCGGCGAAGAGGCGGAGAGAGGGGCAGGGTGGTTTTTGTTCACATAGCGCTTTGACATTCCCAGTTCATGCACTCTGAGGTCAAGCGCGAGATCACTTTGGTGTAGCATACGAGATCGGCCGCTCTGGCTTAAAGTTTTGCAACTTGTAGCATTTGGCATGATATGGGTGTGGCTTAAAATTAAACAGGAGGGGCAAACCGCAGGTTTTGGTCCATGTTTCCATTTGCCAGGGCAACTAATTTTGGAATTCCGGTTTTTGAGCCACAGCCGTTTGGCCTTTGTCAAAATCCAAATCGTACCACCAGTGAACCTCCGATTCAATCCAACCACTAAAATTGGTTCTAAAATGGGTGGTGAATTCACCTACCAACCAAATGGGATCCCCAAACGGTTTTGAGCCACAGCCATTTGGCATGAGCCACGGCAATGGGCTCAGGTCGGCATCATTGTGTGTATCGACCGTTGCTCCACGCCAGCGGCCTACCGTGTTTCGGTCGTCACTCTTCCATGTGCGTTTGTGTGTGTGTGTGTGTATGGCTGTGGTTGTCAAAGCCGTTTTGGGATCCCATTTTGGTTGGTAGGTGAATTCACCACCCATTTTAGAACCTATTCTAGTGGTTGGATTGAATCGGAGGTTCACTGGGGTTATGGGATTTGGACCCATGGCCATATCTTTGGCGGGACTTCCCTTATCACGAAGGCGAAGCACAAGAGAGCCGGCCATTTTGGGGGTCTCCTTGTTTTAAGACTATGTCACAGGACCTGCTGCTGCGAAGGGTCCTTTGCCACTCCTTGCTCGGGAACTTCGAAGTGGCCCTCCAGGAGCGGCGCTGACTCGTCAGGCGTGAGAACCGCGTTTAGCTTCAAGGGTTTCAATTCAACTCAGACACCTTCGGCCGGATTCTGAAGCAAAACATGAGGCTGTCCAGGTCCCTGGAAGACAAGGTTGCTTTCAAAAGGATGGGGCTTTCTGGTGGGTTCCACGTCAATGTGCGCAATTGGGGCCTTCTCAATGAGTCGTTTGGTGTTTGGGGTGGAGTTCTCCTCCCCAAAGACGGGGGGTTTGAAGCCGGATGCCGGATAGGAGTGTCAGAAGGCGGACTGGCTCATCCCCAATGAGGCGCCGATGCGGTCGGCGTGTTCTCTGACTAACCCCCTTTGAACTCGCTGGCGAGAAGAACAAAGCCACAGATTCGTTTCTTTTGTTTTTCCGGGAGCATCCGTCCCATTTTTTTCAGGACACATCAACTCGCCGTGCCCAGGCCAACAGCAAGTTGATCCTCGCGGTGATCTATGCCAAACTGGGCGCCGAAACCGGAGGTCTCTCGCAGCGGCACGCGCGCGCAGTCGACTTCGCCTAGGACGGGTGGAAGCCAACGTGGCCTTCCAGCAGGCCGGTTCGCCTTGCCATCTCCGTCTTCCGATGTGGATGGTTGCGAATTTTCCAAAGTCCATTTCGCACCGTTCAGAAACCCTGGAATGATGCTCCTCCTGTAAATACCAACAAATTGTTGTTTTGCATGGTTTCAAAGTGGTGCGAAACGGATTTCGCAACCGTCCACAGCACTCGCAGCCGCCCGACCCGTGGAGTGTGCCAGGCTGTGGCGAGCCAACGGGAGCTAAGGGACTTGGCGGGGGGGCTGAGGCTCTCGCGGGGTCTGTGGAACCTTTTGAGAGGTTCCTAAGCCATGAGTGGGTTTTAACTAATGAAAGAAAATGCAGGTGGTGGAACTTGAATTTGAGGGATCATGGGAAAGATGATCTGAGCCAGCGATCTTTGGGGATTGTGTGTCGCGTTGTGGTGGCAGCAGATGTGCGCAAGATTTCTGCATACGGCATGTGCCATCAGGTAGATTGCCTCATCGCCTTCTTCTGCTTGCATCATGAACACGCAGACATTGCCATCACAATCTGCACCAAGGCAGGGCTGCCGAGTATCCGGTCGCACAGGAGCCTTCGGATTTCTTCCAACCAACATATCAAGATGAACTGCAATCTGATCTTCGAGTTGGAGACGGAGTATTTGGACCCTGTATTGCTGCTAATACTGCGGATGGACAGAATCCTGCACCACCTAAGAAACCCTGGAATAATGCTCCTCCTGTAAATACCAACAAATTGTTGTTTCCCATAGTTTCAAAGTGGTGCGAAATGGATTTCGTCCATCCACAGTATTCATTCTCCACCTGGGAGAGCCGCGGCATGAAGTTGGATGCCCCTCAGGTCCTGAAGCGAAGCCCCAGGCGGGCTGGGGGCTTCGGGCTTCGTTACGCTGCTGGTTTCTCCCCAAAATCGGGGCTGCTGGTTTCAGGTGAGTAGACAAAAGCCGGTCAGAAGGTTAGGGAACAGTCGCAAGCATTATATGGCTGCGGGTCAAAACCAATGGTACCATTTTGGGGTAGGTGCACCACCCATTTTAGTCTATCTTAGTGGGGCTTGGGATGTTCACTGGGGGATAGCCGCGGTTTTGACTCATGGCCATATAGGTGCGGCCCTGATCTTGATTCTTTGCGTTCTGGGCGGAAGCCTTCGATACAACCTGATTGCTTGGCTCAGGTTCCCTTTGGCCTTGCTGATGCGGGGCGATGCCTACCTGTCGGGGACCGCAGAAAGCGGAGGTGTCTGGACAAGCAGTGCAGATCGGCCCCAGGTCTTTGGCCTGAAAAAGCGGCCACTAAATGAGCAAGGGTCGATATTTGCTCTCATTTGCGGGTGGTAGGAAATAGGAAAGGAGGTTGCTTATCAAGATACTATGCGGCAACGGTGTTCCCGAAAGCGCACTGAATATTAACCGTGGTGCAAATATCAGTTGTTTGGGTTGGATCCTGATGGTGGTAAACATGAGCCAACACCAACTAGTTGGACGAAAACAGAACCAGGCGCAACTGTCTTGCAATGTGGCAGGATCTCATTGTCGACTCTTTCACTGATTTCGCCTGGTTGCCACACATGGACACGAATTGTGCACCTTCCTTGGGTGGCTTTCAAGGGATCCCAAACAACACACCAAGAAGAGGGAGGGTGTCCTTTTTGGGACACACCCATTTCACTCATTGTTGGGAAGCTTCCCGATTCCAAGGTGTGGGGGAGTTGCCGCCAACAAGCAGCGGGCCTCTGCGGACCATGCGTCACTGCTGGACCGCGCATTGGTTTGTCTCAGCATGGCGGACATCAAAGCAATGTTTGGTTTCCTCTGGGTTTCTTATGCGCAACCCCAAAGGTTCCCTCAACAAAGATACACCCACATGCTACCTGCACAATACTGGAAAGTCAGGGCAGGATCCAAAAAGACATGCTGAAGGTCCATCCATTGGGTTGCAAACAGGGCTCACCTTCGAATGGCAAGCGATCCGCTTGACTTCTTGCCAGCTCCGGCAGCTGCACGCCAGGAGCTGGACAACAGTTACCAGGCCCTAATTAGCAGGCCCGTGAGCAGTGACTGAGCCAAGTTGATGGAACTCAAAGACCGCACCAAGTTGAGAGATGCTTGAAGTCGCCTATCCCTTGGAGTGCTACTGTGGATGGACGAAATCCTGCACCTAAGAAACCCTGGTTTCTGATTCGATTCCCCTGTAAGTACCAACAAACCCATGGATTCTTAGGTGGTGCGACATGGATTTTGTCCATCGCTTGCAGGAATCATCCCAGTGCTGCGCATCACTCTCGAGCCGAAGAGCTGTGCTGCCGGCCGTTTTTTGCCATGCGACCGACGCGCGGAGTTGCGACGGTTCCCCACAGCCCATTCTTCACGTGGCTGTGGGTCAAACCCTGTACCCCTGGTGAACATCAAAGTACTCGTAGGTGGTACATGGGTGTTATCCGCCCCAAAATGGAGGCATGGGTTATGACCCATGGCCACGTGGGCCTAGAATTGCACCTTTCGTAAGCCGACGCATTGCAAATCTAGCCGCTCCCCTGCCTTGCGAGTTGTTCTGCCGCGTTCCCATGGCCAGGCTTTTGAGCTTCCATCCATGCTTGCAGATGCAAGCTCCGAAGCCCTACAGCGAGTATGCGCTTTGCAGGTCCCGTGCGTGAGAATGCGAAGGGGATTCCCTTTGCTTGGGAGACAGAAGCGGCTGGCAAGCAGAAAGTTTGAGGGTTGCCAGCGGCCTCGACTACTCATGCTGCAATCGTCCAAGCCCAGCAAGGATGTACAGCATTGGCTACTGAATGCATCAAACCGCAGCTCCAGGCGAAAAGATCCTCTTGTGGTGGCCAGCCTCGTTATTTTGGCTGCCTTTCCCTTAGATCCTCAGAGAGAGAGAGAGAGAGAGAGAGAGAGAGAGAGAGAGGGAGAGGAGCCTTCCAGATGCACTCAGCAGTGTGCCATGCGCATTGCCAAGAAATCAGGTCACAAAGCTTCGGCTGATGGCCAGCTCGGGCAAGGTGGTGAGAAGTGCCAGGGACTGAGGATGTCGCGCTAGCAAAGACATGCCTTTGGTGCATTTTGCTTGGATATTAGGACTTTGACTTTTTGCCAACTAGTGGGTTTTTCATTGAAACACTAAAAGTTAAACTTTTCGCAGGGGAGCAGAAAGCAACCGAGATGCCATGTCTGGCAAGGTGCAAGAGGCCTACAGAGAGCTGCTGGAGCAGCGTGCCCAACTTCAGCGGAAGGCGGGATCTTGCGGCGGCGTGGCGTTGGGCAAGTTCTTGTCAGGTGCAGAACCTGCTCCACTCGCAGTCTTTCCCATCTCCGCTGGCGGGTCAAGCAGCTTGGCTTCATTCCTCGCAAGTTGCAACTCCTGTTCTTGCAGTGCCAGAGAGGAGAAGCGAGAGACAGAGATGGAGAAAGGAGAGAGAGAGAGAGAGAGAGAATAAGAGGCCATCTTCTGAGTGGCACAGTTTTGTCGCCTGTCACTTGGTGCGTGGCATTTGGTAGTGGCACTTCCAGGTCTACGGCCCCATGGATCCGGACCAGCCCCACATCCGCCGCTATAGGCGCGCCCGAGGGCGACTGGCGCCTCGCGCGCGACGCAGACGCAGACGAAGGGGCCTGCTGCGGGGTTCTTGGGCAGGCGCTACTGGATGGAGCAGACGCGGCCGAGTCGGCCGCAGGCGCCACTTCCAAACACGAGAAAGGCGAAAGGAACTCCTAATGACCAATTGTGACGGTTCCTACTAGGGGGCTTATGATGCCTCGCAAAGGTTGTTTTGACCGTGGCAAACATGGAGCACTTCGCAAAGCGCACGGCAATGCCAGTTCATGTTGAACATTGGTCAAGCCGAGGAGACCCCCAGAGAGGTAACAACTCCTAGGGAGGCGTTGCTTCTGGCGCAGCAGGAAGTTGAGGCCGGGCATCGCAACGGGCCGTTTCGGGCTAGTGGCTTAAGGTTCAACATGCCGGGATGAATGAATGAATGAATGAATGAATGAATGAATGAATGAATGAATGAATGAATGAATGAATGAATGGATGGATGGATGGATGGATGGATGGATGGATGGATGGATGGATGGATGGATGGATGGAGATGGGTGGATGGATGGATGGATGGATGGACGAACGAATGAATGAACGAATGAACAAATGGATGAATGGAACAATGAATGATTGAAACGTGATTTCAGGTTCAAAATCTCGTTGCCAGTCAAGTTCCAGAACAACCAGGCAGAAGATAGGACTTCCAAGATGAACGTATCCGAAAGTCAGGAGCGCTGGTGGGCAAGTTCTGCAATCGCTTAAAAGAGGTGGCCAGCGGCTACACAGTCATCATAGTATCTCTTTGCTTTGATGCATACACAAAGGCGAACCCAAGCAAGCCCTCCTCCAGTTTCTTTGCTTGCGAGACTCTCTTTGGCAACATTCCATTTTTGTCGCTCCAAACTACACCCCACACAGGCAATTTGTCCCTGGGGGTGCAAGATGGCAGGAACAAAAGGAGAATTGGAACCCAGGTGATGAAGGTTTCTGCCCCCAATGCGCCTGGGCTAGATATTTGGCGATTGGCAGGCATCATGGAGTGCCTCAGCACCTCAGGTGCCATCGCAGCAACGCGTTGCTCAGATGCCTCCTGCACAGCCTTTGCAGCCCGTAGCAGCTCAGCCGGTTGATGAGCCTCGAGCGGCGCCACCTCAGCCAGTTCGACGCACTCAGCCTGCTCAACCTGCTCTACCTGGTCAGCCGCCACAGTCTCGACACCCAGAACCACCACAAAGACTGTACCAACGCTTGCAGCTGCTGCAACAGAACCAGCAATGCCAACCTGAGAAGCCTGAGGGGCAACCTCCGCAGCCACAGCAACGCCAGCCACAACCGCAGCAACAGCAACAAGCGCAACAGCCGCCTCGGCAAGATCAGCCATCCCAGCAACCGCCCCAGCCTCAGACACGACCACAGCCACCTGTACAGCCGCCTCAATCTCAGCAGCCAGTCCCTCGGCTGGCGCACCAGCCATTTCAGCCTGAAGCCCAGTACTACACGCCTCAAGAGCCGCGAGCGCTGCATCCTCCGCGGCCTCTGGAAGCACCGCAAGCGCCACCAGCGCCGCCGCAAGCGCCGCAGCAAGCGCAGCGGACAGCATACCCATCGCGGCAGCCTGAGGTTGCTGAGCTGCAGCTGCCTCAACAAATGCCTGCTGACAGATGCTTGGCTTTGTTTGATTATGCTTATGCACTCTAGCTTTGTCGGCTGCACGTGGAAGTTCGTGCATTCCAACTGCAAGGAAGATCAGCAGAGGAATTCAATGCAAGGCTGGCCCGGGGCTTTGACGACCCTTGCAAAACCAGGCAGTTGCGGACTTCACCGTACTGCTGGATCCAACTTGGGCCCGGAAATGCCAAGGTGAGCGGTGTCCTTTTTTCTTTTGGGCTTCCCATGGCGTCGATACGCGGCGCGGGCACTTTGAGGCAGAGCTCCCCTTCTCCATTCACGGTAGAGGCCCGGAGGGATTGAAGCAAACCTGAGTGGCAAGTGGTCCACACTCCTTAGTTAGTTCCCAGATCGTTTCAGATACATAGGTCTCCTTCTGATGGGTTCGTTTTTCCCCAAACAGTTTACTGTGAGGGGTTCTAAATTCATTTAAGGTGGCTCGCCTGTTGCCAAGCCCTAGCCTGGATGCCTGGCACAGCTCTCTGGGTGGACGGGTTCATTTGTCTCCCTGTGTCTCCCTTCATTTGTCTCCCGTTGTCTCCCCGCCTGGATGCCTGGCACGGCTCTCTGGGTGGACGCGTTCGTTTGTCTCCCTGGGTTCACTTGTCTCCCTTTGTCTCCCTTCATTTGTCTCCCGTTGTCTCCCAGCCTGGATGATCCAGTCTGGGTGGACGGGTTCATTTGTCTCCCTTTGTCATTTGTCTCCCGTTGTCTCCCAGCCTGGATGCCTGGCACGGCTCTCTGGGTGGACGGGTTCATTTGTCTCCCTTTGTCTCCCTTCATTTGTCTCCCAGCCTGGATGCCTGGCGCGGCTCGGGTTCATTTGTCTCCCTTTGTCTCCCTTCATTTGTCTCCCGTTGTCTCCCAGCCTGGATGCCTGGGTGGACAGATTCACTTGTCTCCCTTTGTCTCCCTTCATTTGTCGCCCGTTGTCTCCCAGCCTGGATCTGGCACGGCTCTCTGGGTGGACGGGTTCATGTGTCTCCCTTTGTCCCCTTCATTTGTCTCCCGTTCTCTCCCAGCCTGGATGCCTGGCACGGCTCTCTGGGTGGACGGGTTCATTTGTCTCCCTTTGTCTCCCTTGATTTCTCCCGTTGTCTCCCAGCCTGGATGCCTGGCACGGCTCTCTGGGTGGACGGGTTCATTTGTCTCCCTTTGTCTCCCTTCATTTGTCTCCCGTTGTCTCCCAGCCTGGATGCCTGGCGCGGCTCTCTGGGTGGACGGGTTCATTTGTCTACCTTTGTCTCCCAGGATGTCTGGCACCCCTTTGTTTCCCTTCATTTGTCTCCCGTTGTCTCCCAGCCTGGATGCCTGGCACTGTTTTTTTGGTGGACAGATTCACTTTTCTCCCTTTGTCTCCCTTCATTTGGCTCCTGTTGTCTCCCAGCCTGGATGTCTGTCACGGCTCTCCAGGCGGACGGATTCACTTGTCTCCCTTGGTTCCCCTTCATTTGTCTCCCATCTCTGTGGGTGGACGGATTCATTTGTTTCCCTTTGTCTCCCTTTATTTGTCTCCCGTTGTCTCCCAGCCTGGATGCCTGGCACGGCTCTCTGGGGGTAGGCCCCTCGTCTGTACCCGCGTTTTGCGACTCGTCTGTGCCCGCGGGAATCCGCTCGTTTCTACCCGCGTGGTGGGCGCAGATGAGTCAGATTGATGGCGGTCCCCTATGCTCTAAACTTCACAAATGCAGTACTCACAAGTATTGTGTGGGCACAGATGATCTTAGGTGTTTTGGGGCTTTACAGCTCTTAGAGAATATTCTGAGAAACTGCCATAGGTGTCTACTATGGGTCACGTGCGGTACGGTGCGGCATTTGCGTGTTTTGTATCTTTGTTTGCTTTCAGTGCCATGCTCAAGCCATGTGTGGTGAAGGAGTGTAGCTACAGAGCAGCTAGCCTGGACTGATTCGCTTTCACCGAAAGTCCCTGAATGTAATGAGGGGAGCTCCTGGAATCAAGGATGTGTTTTAGAAGCTTCATTCGGCGTGTTGTCAAAGATCCTAAACCCGAAAACCCTAAACCCTAAAAAGCCTCAACCCAAAAAAACTGAACCCTTAAAAAACCTAAACCCTAAAATCCTTAAACGCTGAAGATCCTAAACCCTAAAAACCCTAAACCCTAAAAACCCTAAACCCTAAACACTAAAGATCCTAAACCCTGAAACCCCTAAACCCTAAACCCTAAAAACCCTAAACCCTGAAAACCCTTAACCCTAAAAACCCTAAACCCTAAAAACCCTAAACCCTAAAAACCCTTAACCCTAAAAACCATAAACACTGAAGATCCTAAACCCTGAAACCCCTAAACCCTAAAAACCCTAAACCCTAAAAACCCTAAACCCTAAGAACCCTTAACCCTAAAAACCCTAAACACTGAAGATCCTAAACCCCGAAGACCCTAAAATCCCTAAACCCTAACCCTAAACCCTAAACCCTAAACCCCTAAACCCTAAACCCTAAAAACCCTAAACACTACGATCCTAAACCCTAAAAACCCTAAACCCTAAAAACCCTAAACCCTGAAAACCCTTAACCCTAAAAACCGTAAACACTGAAGATCCTAAACCCTGAAAACCCTAAACCCTAAAACCCCTAAACCCTAAGAGCCCTAAACCCTGAAAACCCTTAACCCTAAAAACCCTAAACACTGAAGATCCTAAACCCTGAAGACCCTAAAATCCCTAAACCCTAAAAACCCTAAACCCTAAAAACCCTAAACCCTAAAAACCCTTAACCCTAAAAACCATAAACACTGAAGATCCGAAACCCCTGAAACCCCTAAACCCTAAAAACCCTAAACCCTAAAAAACCCTAAACCCTAAGAACCCTTAACCCTAAAAACCCTAAACACTGAAGATCCTAAACCCCGAAGACCCTAAAATCCCTAAACCCTAAAAACCCTAAACCCTAAAAACCCTTAACCCTAAAAACCCTGAACACTGAAGATCCTAAACCCTGAAGACCCTAAACCATAAAATCCGTAAACCCTACAAACCCTAAACCGTAAAAAACCCTAAACCCTAAAACCCCTCAACACTGAAGATCCTAAACCCTAAAAACCCTAAACCCGAAAGACCCTAAACACTAAAGATCCTAAACCCTGAAACCCCCAAACCCTAAAAACCCTGAACCCTAACACCCTAAACCCTAAAATCCATAAACCCTAAAACCCTAAACCCTAGAAACCCTTAACCCTAAAAACCCTAAACACTGAAGATCCTAAACCCTGAAGACCCTAAACCCTAAAAACCCTTAACCCTAAAAACCCTAAACACTAAAGATCCTAAACCCTGAAACCCCTAAACCCTAAAAACCCTAAAATCCCTAAACCCTAAAAACCCTAAGCCCTAAAAGCCCTAAACACTGAAGATCCTAAACCCTGAACCTTAAACCCTAAACCCTAAACCCTAAAAACCCTAAACCCTAAACACTAAAGATCCTAAACCCTGAAACCCCTAAACCCTAAAAACCCTAAACCCGAAGACCCTAAACCCTACAATCCCTAAACCCTAAAAACCCTAAACCCTAAAAACCCTTAACCTTAAAAACCCTGAACACTGAAGATCCTAAACCCTGAAGACCCTAACCCCTAAAAACCCTTAACCCTAAAAACCCTAACCCTAAACACTAAAGATCCTAAACCCTGAAACCCCTAAACCTTTAACCCTAAAAACCATAAACACTGAAGATCCGAAACCCTGAAACCCCTAAACCCTAAAAACCCTAAACCCTCAGCTTTAAACCCTAAACCCTAAAAACCCTAAACCCTAAAAACCCTAAACCCTAAAAACATAACCCTAAACCCTAAACCCCTAAACCCTAAAACTCGCTGTGGGCAGGGATGAGCCCAAAGTGTGGGCACAGATGATCCTAAAACTGACCCCTTTTTTGCAAAGGATCAACTTCTAAGTACTGGCGAAAGCATCTGTGGGCGGAGATGAGTCAGAAAATGTGGGCGCAGATGAGTCACTTCTGTGTGGGCGGAGATGAGCCGAAAATGTGGGCACAGATGAGCCCCTTTCCTCTCTGGGTGGACGGATTCATTTGTCTCCCGTTGTCTCCCAGCCTGGATGTGTGGCACTCACGCTCCGCGGTTTCCTTCACTTCCCGCGGTTCTGTCCTTTTGGCGGGGTCTGGTTTGCCTTCGGCTTTGGCCCTGGCTTCGGTCATTCCTTGTCTTGTGGATGTTGGGGACAGGGTCCTCCTCTGTCTGCCCTTCATCTGGACTTCGATTTCGCTTGGGCTCGTGGTGGGTCGTCTTCCTTGTCTATCGTTGGCTACACCCTGTCTGTTCGTTCAGTGCCTCGTTATCAGTTGCGGTCCCGAGCTGACGATAGCGGTGCGCTGCGGTGCGCGGCTTCAGCTACGAGAAGGCTCTGTTAACCCCCCGGTGAAACAAACGTGAATCACGCTGGAGTTAAATCCTCTATCGATTCTTCGAGGATGTTCAACGAACCTTACGCTGAGATACCCAGTGGTGCTCTTGGCACCTGGGGTTGTCCCGGCTCTCCCGGCGGACGGGTTCATTTGTCTCCCTCTCCCTCCATTTGCCTGACGGATTCATTTGTCTCCCTTTGTCTCCCTTTATTTGGCCCCGGTTGTCTCCCAGCCTGGACGCCTGTCACGGCTCTCTGGGGTGGAGGGGTTCATTTGTCTCCCTTTGTCTCCCTTCATTTGTCTCCCGTTGTCTCCCAGCCTGGATGCCTGGCACGGCTCTCTGGGTGGACGGGTTCATTTGTCACCCTTTGTCTCCCTTCATTTGTCTCCCGTTGCCTCCCAGCCTGGATGCCTGGCACGGCTCTCTGGGTGGACGGGTTCATTTGTCTCCCTTTGTCTCCCTTCATTTGTCTGGCACGGCTCTCTGGGCTTTGTTTCCCTTCATTTGTCTCCCGTTGTCTCCCAGCCTGGATGTCTGGCGGCTCTCCAGGCGGACAGATTCACTTGTCTCCCTTTGTCTCCCTTCATTTGTCTCCCGTTGTCTCCCAGCCTGGATGCCTGGAACGGCTCTTTGGGTGGACAGTTTCACTTGTCTCCCTTTGTCTCCCTTCATTTGGCTCCCCTTGTGATGTCTGTCACGGCTCTCCAGGCGGACGTCTCTGTGGGTGGACGGATTGATTTGTCTCCCTTTATCTCCCTTTATTTGTCTCCCGTTGTCTCCCAGCCTGGATGCCTCTCTGGGTGGACGGATTCATTTGTCTCCCTTTGTCTCCCTTTGTTTGTCTCCCGTTGTCTCCCAGCCTGGATGCCCCTCTGGGTGGACGGATTCATTTGTCTCCCGTTGTCTCCCA